AAAATATAATAATAAAATAATAATAAAATAAAATATAAATATGTTAATAAATAGTGAGTAAATAATAAATAGTATAGTAAATAATAAAATGGGATAATAAATAATAAAATGGAGGGTTGGCAAATTGATTGGTCCATTGAGAACAGATGGACTTTGGACTGGTCCATTGCCATTAATAAAACACTAAATATGGTTAAAGTGTTACACTAATGGACATAATGGACCACCAATAGACCATTAATGGACAATACATTTGCCAACCCTGGATATAGTAAATATCTAAAATATCAATACAAAAATTATAAATGCGATTTTTATCAAATAAGTTTCAAAACTCTTTTAAAAAATATATTTACCTTTTAAAAAATATACTAAACAAAATTAGAAATAATCTAGAATGAAAGGAAATAAAAAATATAAATTAATCAATAAATGTAAATTATAAATTACACACATATATATTACTCCTTGGTGGTTAGTCATGTGCCCAATGATGGTTGAATAATAATTAATAATGAGTAAATGAATGGATAATGAATGAATGAAATAATTAATTATCTACCACCATTCCTTGCCTATGTTTTTCTTTTAATTGAAAATCTTTATTTTTTGTGAATGCTATTTAATCTATTTTACAGCCATTTATAAGTGAGATCAACCAATAAAAAATATCTAATAATTTTATTAAAGCTCCTCACAAGCTGGCTTGTGAGCCAAATAACTTATTCAGCTTGCGAGCTGGCTCATGCGGAGCCTTAAATTTTATATATATACACACTAATTAAATTTTTTAAAAAAATAAAAAATAATTAAAAGAACTTAACAACTTGAAAAAAATCTCTATATTAACATTGTTATAATTAAAGTCTAATTTTATTCTCAACATTATCATTGTAATTAAAATAATTGTTTTTGTTATGTCTATATCTATTAAAGCTCCACACGAGCTGGCTTGCGAGCTGACTCATGTGGAGTCTTAATATCTATATCTATAAATTGTTCATCTAAATCTTGTCCTTTAGATCACACGTATATAATCATCACTGAGCATTACAGTAGCTTATCTATGACCAAGGACCTCTATATAGTATGTAATATAACATAAAAAAATTTA